CTTTAAATGCCTCTATCAACTTCTTGTACTTATTAATTAGCTCCTGTGATCTATCTTTCTCTACATCATTAGCCCCTACATGCACCACAAAAACTGCATCTCTGCTAGCCCCTTTATTATATCTCCTAAGTAAATAAAAAGCAGATGGCATTTAATTACGCTAAGTACAAAGTAACACATATGGTCTATCTTAATTTAAAGTGTAATACACACGACCTACCTTAATTCAAACTATATTAACACTTTGATGGAAATCACACTCAATAGCATTATAGAAGAAAATGATCTTGATCATTTGATGCTTTGGTCAATCAGTCTTAAAGCCTTTCAGCCAGTGGGAAAGAAAGTAGGATTTTAGGTTGTATCTGCAAGAATACTGAATACAAGTCAAAGGAAATTATCATTTTTTTTTACAGATAACTGTAAAGAGACCTCATATAAACTACTGTATTCAACTTTTAACTCCTTACCTTAAGAAGGTTGCTGATTTGTTGAAAGAGTTCAAAGGAGGAGGACTGCTACAATTGTACATGAAATGGATAATTTCCTTTGGCTTATATTCAATATTCCTGTAGATACAACTCAAAATCCTATGTGCTTTTTCTTTGGCAAAAAACACTGCCTGGAAGGCTTAAGAGACTGATTTACCAAAACACTAAGATACTTTCTCCCATAACACTATTGAGTTGATTTCCATCAAGGTAGTAATGTTAATTTAAATTAAGGTAACTCATGCAGCTATCTTGTTCTTAACGTAACTAACTGCCATCTGCCATTTAATTGCCTAATTTTCCAAATCCCTTTATAAAACAACAGCATCCTCCTAACAACCAACTATATCTAAACTTTAATATCATCAGAAATATCGCTTAATAATATTGTTAATGTATATCCATACAGTACCTTAAGTAAGGTCCATGGTACAGCATCCTGAATTACTCCCCTTTACACCCTAGTCCAGTTTGACTAACTCTATTTATTACAACCATTTGGTTTCTCTCTTCTGATAACCCATAACCCTTTGAGCTAACTTATTCCCCACACCCACAAATATCTTCTTTTTTTTTTCTAGTCTTTAGTGTGATACTTTGTTGAAAGTCTTCCAAAAATCCAGGTATACCAAATCCACAACTTTACTCTCATTAACATAAGCAGTGATATCTTTGAAGGTCAAAAGATATACAATACAAGCTTTGTTACATGATTTTTCAAAACATCTTTAATCAGTCAAAAAATATTCCCATCACAGAAACGAGATTAAAAGGCCTATAAAATGTATAATTGCCTGAACAATGCTTGTCATCTATCTTAAAATTAGCTTTGGTTTGTTCTGAATTTTGCACAAAGATACATGTCATGAGGGCTATCTGCGTTAGCCATCCCTAATTTAGCAATGAAAGACTAGAGGGAAGGCAGCTAGTCATCACCGCCAACTCTTAGGCTACTCTTTTACCGATGAAGTTTGGGATTGACCATCACTTTATAATGCCCCCACAGCTGAAAGGGTGAGCATGTTTTGTGGCATGAGGATTCGAACCCGCAACCTTCATATTGTGAATCGAGCACCATAACCACCTGGCCATGCCAGGCCTTAGTCAGCTTTGACATCTGCCCACTACTCAAAAACTAACAGTAACATTGTGATTAACATCACATGATATCGATACGATGTTAGTCATTTTCGGTGACGAGGAACCCACTTTGAGATTAATAATGGCTGGAGACGGCTTAAATGGGTAATAAAGAAAAACTTTAAT